TTCGGCGGCACATCCCACGCGATGTAGTGAAGGTCATGGTTGGCGACGGTGTTGGAGAACTCGGGCGCGTTGCAGATCACTGTCTGGAAGTAGCCTTCGGAGGAGGAGATGAAGTTGGTGTAGTACATGAGGAGCCTTCTCGGTAGGTTGTCCCATCCCCACACGCAGAACTCGACGAACTCCCGCGACAGAGCAACCCATGCAGAGCCTGTTAGGAAAAGAGACGACCCCACCGTCAACGCCTGAAATCTCTCAGTCGTGGATCCAAAGTTCCAGCAACAAGTACCTGTGAACAGCTTGAATGCAGTCGGCGTCTCTCTTCTCTGACTTACCCATAAGATATCAGTCTTCTTGCTCATGTATAATCCAGGGTCAACGATCAAAGGTCTCGCTCTCTGGTCCCTGTAAAAACAATCGCCTGAACATTACAACAGAAGAAGCACACTCCACTCAGCCCAAAACAATTTAAGCAATTCTACGAACTCTTTCCAATCCAATCGGCTCGTGTGCTCCACAAAGCTTATGTTCCGCGGCAAGGACGAGAAGGTGTGCAGTATATCTGCCACCAGACACAAAAACCAGTCACGTACACTGCAAGTCTACAAGAAAGCCGACAAGTGTGAGAGGAGGCTCACCGTCTTGCGTAACGAGAGGGTAATCAGAGGCACTGAGGTTGATGAACCAGTCCCACTGCCCGCCCTTCTTGAGAAGCACAGCACAGGCGTGGAGCGCGTTGGCTATCACCATCGGCCCTCGATAGGTAACCAGGTTCGACTTCTTGATTACATGCACGTTCCCGACCTTGGCGAAGAGGGTCTCGTTGGCGACGCGTGAAATCAACCGCAGCCGCTCGCTCGCCGGAGATTCCAAGTCCAAGTGCACGACGTAGAGGTTCCGAGGATGGTACAGCGCCCGCAGCGTCCTCCACAGGCGATCCAGATCTCCCTTGGATCCGGAGATAAAGTAGGCCAACCTGGGAATCGGGGAACCGACAGGCGGCGGCGGCGGCGGCGAAGCGGGGAACGATGTGGACTCCACGATGGCAGGGGTCGTGGCGTTGGTCAGGAAGTACATGGTGTGGATGGAGGAGAGGATGCTCATGTTCGAGGCGGCGGCGAAGAAGACGAGGACAATTGAGATCAGCATCACAGCCCACACCCATCTTTTATCCATGGCACAGTGTAGCAGAGGAATCTTCGCTTTCATCATCTCCATCACGGCCACAACCTCCTCCTGTGCAGCTCAGATTCGTGCCAAAACGCAGCGTACTGCACACTTGAAGGAGGGAACGAGTCCAACGGAGAGACTAGGGTGAGAAGAAGAGGAAAGGGAAGAAGATGACGAACGAGGGCTCGGAGAAATAATAAGGCGTCGGCAATGCTAGAACACGAGAATGAATCATAACAAAACAGGATAGGGATGGTTGAAGGAGATAAAGAAGGGAACCAGAAGTAGTTCTACGGGATACGAGAACCACATAGAAAGTGGATCCTATCGCCGTGCAATCCGAGTGGCGTTCTTCTTCTTCTTCTTCCGTCTTCTTCTTATATGCTACAATAGCCTCCTTTCTCGGTTAAACTCCACCTTATGGTTTCGTATTCATATTAAGCATTTGACTTGTCACAAGTGGGAAGAGAAACGCCTCTGGGCACGCGCATCGGAAACGCTTGGGCATTTAAGCCACGAAATAAAGAGAATAAAAAGGGGGCAAATACAATATTTGTGAGGATAAATGTGTGAGAAAAAGGGAGAAGTGGCATTTGATCCACCGGAGACGGCAGCCAGTTGTAAGACCAGTCCATAACGCCATTACGCCTAATTACTTACGTGCTTCTTTGTCGATAGTGTTGGATACATTGATGTGGTCGTCCGACGGCTTGTCATTGGAGTCGTCGCTCCGGTCCTGCTAGTTTGGTCCATCTCGCTCGTCGGAGGGTCAATATGATTACGTCTTTGTCGCTCGTTTCTCTCTGATGCTGCTAATTCATATGAGGAGAATATTATAATCAAATATTATAATATTTTTCTTTAATCTTGCACGAATTGGTATATATATATATATATATATACCAATTCGTGCAAGATTGCCGCTCTCCTCGCACGACTATTCAAGCTTTCCTTGGAGAGAAGCACACGTCCTAGGTAGCGAGATGGAAGAGTCGCGACACACCGACCCGAACCCTAGCGAGGAGGTGTTCCATCCGAGAGGAGGAGGAAGAGGTAAGAATGATCCCTTCCCATGTAAATTCGCCCCTCGATCGAAGGTTTTTAGCAATTCTTTTTTGGGGGTGACGAGGCAGATTAGATCGGTTTGGGGGGGGGCCGCGTCTGGGGACTTTTGTGGTTAGAAGGGCTTCTTGGGCTTGGTAACGTGAGAAAGATTCGGGATGGGCTTGCCGACATTGTTCGGGTTTGCGAAATGATCCCGTTCTTGGTTGTGATTTCGATCGGCGGCATCGGAGAGGGAGGAACGTGGGTTTTTGATCTTTTGCTTTCCATTGGTTGTTCGTTGGATGTCATGCGAGGGTTTTGAAAGAGGAAGGGGAAATGAGGAGCCGGATAGTTCAGTGATGGATCGGGTATTTGTGGGTTTCTTCTGCGATAGATGAGCAAATCCGGGTTCTGTCCTCGATCCTTCGAAGAACCCCTTTCATTTTTTTGATGGTGAACCCGTTTGCATTTACCTTTCGTATGTGATCATTAAGGTTCCCGTCTTTTCTTCCTTCCCTGATTCTTGTTGCTGAAATATTATGTACTATGAAAATTTTCTGAATTATTTTGCTGCAATCTTTCTATAAATTTGAGAGGTTTTGGATATGATCGACAGGATCGTTTGAATATTCTTGGGTGGCCATTGTAAACGTCTATGCATGGCACCTGACATGGGTTCAGTATCGTTCTTGCAACATCCGATTGAGTGGTACAAGGATGCTTGCTTGATACTATTGATAAAATCTGCATTATGTGTATATGTACTTTGCGTGATTCGTGCCTGATTTTTCTTTGATACCATCCTAATTTGGGGATACGCTTTAGATCAAGCGCAGGAGAGTCGGGATAGAGAAAAATAAGAGTTGCTTAGTTTCATTTTGGTCCTTCTGTTTGGATCGTATAGTTTCTGAGTTTTAGTCAAAATATCATGTGAGTAGCGAGTTAGTGCTTCTTAGGATTACTCAAGGATGTCCTGTTTTTCCTTGTGTCTATTGTTCTTGATGTGTGTATGAACTTAAACACTCCACTCTCTGATGTTTTCTACAAGTTCTCATGAGTCACCATGATTGTAGCACATAACACTCACTTATGGGTTGCTTCAGGTGAAGATATATTAGCAAATCTTAATAGTTGCCTGGATGTTGCATATCAGTTAGGTAAACTTGGAAATGCTACAAATATTCTGTTGGATAAATTTAGGTTAATAACTATGCATGAATTGACTACAGGCAGTCGTAATTTTAACTTGCATCCTGTTCTGTTTCTTTCCTCACACACATCTTTTGTAAGGCATCCATCCCTGTGCAAATTTAATTTCTCATTTTCTTCATCTGATGATTAGAAGTCCACAGGTACACAAGGTAAATTTTGAGTCTCATGGGGATTTGGATGTATTTCAGAATTATCTAGATGCTAATTCTTAGACTATTTATCTTATTTTCCACCCTGTTGCTTTGCAGAAGTTCCTAATATATCCAACTTGAGTTAGACATTGCCCCTTATGGCACCTTGTCTATCAGCATCACTAGTTCATAAGAATTTAAGTTTAGGTAGTAAACAATACTTTAAGGGTGAAGGTTGTAGATGATGCTGCCTCTCCATCTTCCTTTTCAAAGCATATGGTTAGGATGAACTGGTTTACCATAGCAATCGAATTGTTCTCATGCAAAGATTCATCATTGAAGGCCCTGAGTTTCTTATGTTGGTCGAACTTTGGGCAGTCATTTTTTTATGTACTATTATTTTATCTACACTATTTATTTGTTGACATCTGGATGTGGGTTTATAGATAATGACTGGGAAACTGTTCTTGATGGCTAAACATTTATACCCCTTAATGTGGTTCATGGTAACCAGGAGTCTATGGCCCAGATTGTGTAGAAAGGATGTTGACTTTGGTCAATGTTTCAGTACACTGGGATTATATTTCAGCCAAAACTTCACATCTCAGCTTAGGAATTGCTCCACTTTATTTGTAGCTTAAGAATTGGTAAGCCTCATGCCAGAATAAGGGTTGCCCTACTAGGTTTACATTTTTTGAGATCAGCATACAACTTAAAGAGCTTTTTTCATAACTTATAAAAAAAATAAAAATAGGCATCTGATCTTTTGTTGGTTGATGCAATTGTTCTTGATTCAAGAATGAAGTACACACATGGTCTCTTCCTTTAAAGATGAAGAGGAATTGAGGATACATGTTCTTCACATTAAATTTGAGCTCTCAAACAGAATGAAAATTCTGAGAATGCACTTAACTATTAAATACAGATTCTGCTGCTGATATGATTATTTTCTTAGCAATTAACAAGTTTGTTTTTAGGCAAAATAGTTTCTTCCTATAAATCTTTTACCAGGACATATATGGAGATTAACTTATGAACTGACTCTATTTTGTAAACAGAAGTAATATCTACTGTCTTTGCCTTTTTGCTTGTAAGTTTAGTGCATGACTGTTGCAGAATTGACCATGTAAGGATAGGTTCTCAGTACCAACTTGGAGCTTGACTGGTGAAAGAAGCGTCACTTATCACCACTGCAATTCACAACCAAATTAATACCAATATTTTCTTATTAATTAGGATAGATAAAAATGTTTAATACAAAGGTAGACAAGGCAGATACAGCCTTATCCCATCTGACAACATGACACTGATAATAGACAGCCATGCACACCCAATTTATTTAATCAAACATAATAGTAATACCCCACACTTTTTCCATATTCCAATTTTTATATATTATTACTGATAAGTACTTCACTGGCCACATTTGTGGTCAAAACAAGCGCAGGCAGGACCACACTTGCACATGCCATCATTCTCAGCAGCTGCTGGGGCATTGATCACGTTGTCAAAGTAGCTGAAGAAATTACATGAAAGAACTGTAAGTGTTGATCTGTTTTAGATGCTTTTCTTCTAACTAGCATTTCTGCACATTAAATGTTATGTTGTCGTCTTCTGGTTTATATGATCAAAATAAATCATCGAGAAATATTATATGTGTTATACCTCATTTCCTGCAAGTTATGCCAGAGAAACTAGAATTGAGAAATTGGATCTTTTTTTCAAATCATAAATAGGAAAGCAAACATTAAGATTTTTGCATTCCAGAAAAATTGAGGTATGTGGAGATGGTATGGCATCGTATATATTTTTCATATTCATGATCGTAATAAAATAATGGTCAACAACTGTCAAATTTAAATATGTTGTATATAACCTTGTAGATTTAATTACTATGCTTTAACTTTGAAAATTATTTGAAGTTATCAAATACAGTTAAGGTAGCTCTAAACAAAGCAGGGCACTTTCCAGTTGATATTAAGTTAGTTTCACTTATGCTAGAACATTGGCTAATGATGTATCTGTCATCATCTTTGTTTTCTGCTTATGAAAATATAGCTTATTTTTAATTATATTTTCTTTTCACAGACATATGTTGGGTGCCCCTCACTTATGTCACTTGAAAAATAAAAAGATCAACAAGTTAGGAAGTTCATCATGAAATATAAAATATCAGATTTGGCCCCAGGAAAGGAGGTTGGGTAGCTAACACATATGCACACAGAAAAATTAGAAGAAAAAGAACATAGATACCTCTTTTCGGCCCCAACAATCTCAATTCCATAGCCGTTTCCCTTCTTCCTGCAAGACAAATCAAATTCTTTTTAATTATCTCAATCTAGTGCTTTATGTGATTGAATAAATAAGGCATGGAAGACCTGTTTGAATTCTCCCCATATGTTACCACAGCGTGAAGAGTTATTTTGTACATTTGATCACTCGTTAGTTACCAAAACATATAAATGATTGAGCACTTTGAGTAATTAGGTATGAGGTGTATATACCAATTTTTTTTTAAAAAAAAATGTTGTGGTATCACAATTTTATGCATAGAGGATTATAAATCCATTATTCTCGGTGCAACTCAACATGTCCTCGACTTGCTAAAACATAGGCAACACAAGATGAAGGGTCGAAGTAGATGATGACTTACACGCACTGGCTCTTGTCAGCGCAGTCGCAGTTGCCACAGGTTGACATGTTGAGGTGGAATGAGATAACTGAGGGCAGAAGGCTACAAGAAAGATCAAGAGTTGTGGGATGTGTTCTTGGGGATGAGTGTTTGCTTGGTTGGTGCTTATTTATAGGCCTTTTTTTTTTTTTTGGTTCCTGAAGAGACCTCCCGTCATTGTTTGTGCTGTCCACACGCCGCCACCAAGATAAGCATCCAAAGGAATCTCAATTATGGGGAGCAGAAGACGGACATACACCTCTCATGTCAACATCTTAATTCTCTGACCTTTTCCCAATGTTGGAGATAGGCATCGAAGCTTGTGAAGGTTCATCTTTCCATACCAGGTGTGGTGGATATTCTGTCATCCTCTTGCTGAGTTGTGATGGGAGTTTTGTGGAGAGTAGAATCCATCAGACTATCAGGCCAAGGAGGTGGATATGATCTCATCCATTGTTCATCAAGCAATGATAGTTTACCCTGTAAACTTATGCAGGTGGCCAAGATGGTTGTGAAGCAGGTAATCTTTGGGGTATGCTGTCACTAATTTTGGTCTCTCTGCTTGTTGGTCTAATAAGATGATAGAGGCATCTTATTTGAGCAATGATTTGAACAATATCTACTTGCATTATGTTACAGGAACATCGATGAAGGGTGGGGAGATTCTGAAGGTAATGGTTCTACTTGTGCGCCTCACCTCAACATTTCTGGCGTGGTCTGGTCTGGTCTTTAAATCAACAGGTTCTACTGCTTCCTATACAACAAATCAGAATCAGCATTTTCAAGATGGGGCCAGTTTTACCAGCAGCAGATAGGGAGGGGCCCAAAGGCCGGCTTATTATATGCAACATTCTAGTTATGGAAAGTAGAACATCATGAATGCAGGCTGCTTCCACGACAATGACTTATCAGAGAGGGGGAGGGGGGGAGCGGGCTCATGCTCATCGAGTATCGAAATGATGAGGTGTATGTGTGTGTATGTATATTTGGGAATTCGCCTAGGGAATGTATCGAAATGATATTTTTCTATTTTATTTTCTTAAAATATGTTGGATTTTTAATTATATATTTTTTTAAAATCAACAATAAGCATTGCATATAAAGTTAATATATTTTTCTTCGATCGTGAAAACTTAATTAAAATTTCTTTCTTATAAATTAAATTTTAATTTTATTATCGAATGTTGCTGATCTTTTTATCCACTTCCTGCAATCGCTTTTCTCAGCGTCATTGACATCTCACAGAATTCATAAGCAAAATTGATTAAAAGCTGTATCTAGACCTCCAACTTTGATTAATAGTGCCAAATCTAATTAAACTCCTGCTTACTCATGTCATTCTTTCACTTCACCTTGCTTGTAAGAAAGAAAAGTAAAAGTAATCTGGAAAGAGAACACAAAAAAGCAAGACAAAGAGACAAAAAAACAAAAAAACAAAAAAACAAAAGATTGTGATATGATGCAGAGTTACAATATATCTTGCAATATATCATAGAAATGGTTAAGGTCAATTTTCTCTTTTCCAGAACGAATAGCTTCGGCACTTTTTCCATCGGATCCTTGTGCAGCCATCTCCACAAGCATATACAACTTCTTGATTGATATCTGAAACAGTCCACATAAACATAGAGATCAGTGATTACCTTTTGATTCAATTATGTGATGTGACCAATAACAAGATTGTGAGAGATAATTTACAGCAAATAATTTACTTATACTCAACATAATAACTTACATCATTCAGTTCTTCAACCGCTAAGTCAAGATCATCTTCAGAAAATACGCTGAGGCTTTGCAGCACCTGGACAGATATCATGAATTGAGGTTAAAAAATAAAAAAACAGGAGCAAATAATCCTCAGGATACTTAAACGTTGACAGTAAAACGTTTAGAATAATTATCGCCATCAAAAAGATTTTGCCCTTAGATACATCTACAGTAAGTGCCAAATGGTCCTACATAATAAATATATATTGATTCTAAAAAATAACTATATACTGCTTAAGTCACATAGCCGCACTCTTTGAGCTGGCTGGATTCAAAATCCCTGAAATGTCACCTGAAAGAACTATATTCTTCTTATAAAATGCCTGATCCAGTGTATGACTCCATAGACATGACAAAATTGGCTCATAGTTTTTGAAGAGAAAATAAATCCCAAGGAAAAGCAGCAAGCAAACATGTAATAAATGAGATGAACAACAGGATCCTACTATTCATTCCTTGGTTGTGTATTATGTTCATGCATCTATCAGTTTGACTTCGGAAATACCATTGTAATAAATGGTTACGAGGAAATACAGCTCTAGCCTTCTGTACACCTCCAAAAATTAAACTGGGCACGACCTTAAACATATCTGTTGGCATGTTACTTTACCTTCTTGGCGTCTTCCCTGTTCAATCTCGGAACATGATATGTAACAGAGAATGCATCACATATACCAAGAGACTCCAAAAATCCCACCTCGCTGCTTGTCCCTATTACCAGCATGTTCTTACCCTGAAGAAAATTAAGACGTCATAAAACAAACAAAATAGCTACAGTAAACTATGGTTCACTGATGGGAAAAATCACAATGAGCAACTTTGGGACAAAAAGAAACTAGAGGATATAACATTGAAGTCAGTGATATAGCTTTCTTTTTTCTTTCCATTTTTTTTTCTTTTTACTATTCGACAACGAGAACCATAATACAGAAAATAAGAAGAGAACCTTTGGAGGAAGCCGTTTCAGGAGGACTAATAATGTCTGTGAAATTAAATTTGAAAAGCGCGGTCCAATAGCAACATACTCTAATAACCTGAAGAGGTGAACATCGCAAGAATTGTCAACTCACTATATACCAAGAGAATCAGAGTGCAATACAAGTTTACTTTCCTAAATGTAAATAGAGGTTAGTCAAGAATTGGCTATCAGAAATCAAGTTTAACATAGAATGAGGTTCTGAGGCTGTAGTCCAATATGTTCAAGTAATACTAGGAATCTCTGGAAAAAATCAGAATGAATCACACTACCTCTCAATATCATCAAGAATTATGATGCTTAGTTGAGATTTATAAGCATCTTCAAAAACCTGTGAAAGACAAGATAGTTCTACTTGAGTTTAATTACTGAAGCTTCAGAAAGATAGTTCTACTAGTACAATATCGGGCTCATACTAACCTTGACAATTTGTGCACATTTACTTCCTTCACTGAGACCGATCATTGTTTCTGCAGAGATCTACGCCACGAAAGGTATCGATCATTAGAACAAAAGAACAACCAAGGCACTCTGACCATCCAAAATGAGAACTTACAATCTTGACAAATGGGAAATCACTCTCAATGCCAATTGTAGCTGCCATTGCGGTTTTGCCACTGACACCAAAGAACTATTATATATAAAAATGCTAAGCACATTCAGATTTTATCATTTACAATAACTCTTGTAAATTACCTGCCACTAAGACCTTCCAGAAGGCATGTAACAAGTGGGCTACCCTGGCTTACTTTTACTTGCTCCACGAGAAGCATAGCTCTTTCATGTATGTGCATGTGTCTCTCACCACAGTCAACAATGCCATTAAGCCTGCATGCCATTCAAGTTCTGAAGATAATACTCCGTAATCAAAACAAAACTGAGATCCAATTCGTGTTTAACAAATGAATAGAGTGAACATTTGCTGGAAAAAGATATGGATAATTTAGTTTTAAGCCATATGCATTACAAAAACCTTTGTTCATCATTAGAAGCCTAATGATGTTTCATACTTTAATTTTACAATAATGTGGTAGAAACCAAATATTGCAAATAAAAATTAAGGATTCAAATGTTGGTCCGACTGGTAGATACCAATTGGCATTTCCAGTCTGACCAAGGATCAAAATAGAACCAAATAGTCCCTATGGTTGGTATGTGAACTTTGTATTATTTTTTTCTGATGATACTGAACAGGAACAAGGTGGTCTTCTACTGATATAATGGTACCACAGCAGTTCAACCAGTTCTGAAAATGGTACTCATATATAAAACCTTGTAGAAACACCATTTAATATGGATCAGGTTTTTAGAAATATCAAAATCATGAACAAAATTCTTTAACAGCTCTTGCAACATAGTTTTCTGAAGTGTTTTTTTTATATTTATGATGACATTATTTAAACCCCACTTAAGTAGCAAAGGCTAATTTTCAATCAATCAACCAACAGAATAGTTAAAAAGAGTGATAAAAAAAGCAAAGAAAACTTTTTGCATATAGGTAATACCCCACCATCAAACTAGGCACAGTATCCAATCAAAGATTCAATGTTCTGCAGAAAAATGACAAAAGAATGAAAAAAAACTAGAGGCACAAAAAGATTAAACAAACACATTGTTGGTAAGACATTGACCACAAAATATAGTACAGAGAAAAAATTTAAATCTGTTTGACAAGTGATTTTGACATGATTAGCCATTATGATTTATAACTGGATGAAAAATATTGTTAGCATATATGCATTTCAGAAAAATGCTTGACCAACTTAGTCACAAATGAAGCATGCACCTAAATCCAGGGTGACTAGAACATAGTGCATATCAAGGGCTGTTTGGCACAATCAGGTCCCTGTGGCCCCTTCAGGAACACCTGGAGAATTCTATTTGAAATTTCAAAAGCAAGAACAAAATTATGGCAACTATCCCTTCATATGGATCAACTGTCTCAGAAAAACCATAAACAGCACCGTATCCAAGTTTGCAAATTCCAATGAGAAGAAATGTCCAGTGTTTTAAGATGAGAAGGTCTACAATTAATAGATGTATCTTCTAAGAAGAAGCTAGGAGCCGTTTCTGCTTCAGAAATGTTCAGAGTTTTAAGACGAGAAGGAAATCAACACTGAAGGTGTTTCACTACTCCCATCAACCCCAAAACCAACTAGCTATAGCATGTGAAAGAACTCCACATTCACGCAAAATTAGTCACTGAAAATAGCTGAGTGCCTTTTACCTAGTAAAAATGTTTCTTTAAAAAAAATCCAATAACTTTAGAAGGTTCCAACACGTAAGACAGGTTTTATCCACAAAAATTGCTCTCTTAAAGTCTTGGGTACTTTGTATCATCTAAATCATTTCCTGACACGAGAACAAGAAGCATTTGGATTCTAGGTTGAGCCCAGGAATAGGCAGGCATAAGTTCCCCACTTAAAATGGGAACATCTTGGAGTGGAGGATGTGTCCATTCAGTGAGTGTGAAGCGTTTATCAGAGTGGCTATAGAAGGTTGTTGGCCTTGAATGTCCCAACAGTAGTGTTGCTATGTAGTGATGTGTACCAGCTTTACAAGAATAAAATGGAAAGTTAATTATACCTGCAACGTTCAAGATCATCAGTGGATGCACCAAAAGCGGGGACAATCTCATGAAGAGCATGCAAAAAATCATCCATAGTGACTTTTATGCTCTCCTCATCCAAGGGTTTAGTCAAATCATCCATGCTTATTTGTCTATTCAAGGCAAATGAGACAGCACTTTTAACAACACCTTCCAATTCTGCTCCACTGTAATTTTTTGTGCGTGCAGCTGCACATAGAACATGAAAAAAATTAATTATCAACCAAATATATGTTGTAGCAATACCCCCATTCATACATCCAAGAAATCTTAAGATGTGCATGCATAAGCTCAATCATAAAAAATATCCTATTTGTTGAACCATTAAAAGAAGAGAACAATTACAGAAATCAGAAGAAAGCACAAATAGATGTTTGTCTCAGTTTGAATGTACATGTGACTTAATGGTAAGAACACTAAACTGCTAAAAGAGGGGAACAAAAAACAAAAACTAAGCCAATTGACTAAACATACAACAAAAAAAAGATCATCTCACCCTAAATTTTCTCAATATTATGATTCACATCATCCTTATTGACAATTACATCCTGCATATTATGTTCTATGACATCCGTCTCCTGCCAACAACACTTGCCATTCCAAAGAAAATAGGGTTCTAAACACTAAAAATATAAAGCTCAAGCATCTTGGCATCCTACTTGTCTTTCCAATTGGGTTAGAACACTATCAACCATGATAACGACCTTCTCATATACCATAACCCTCATTTCATGTGCATGTGATCAGTGTTCACATCTCTCACAAAGCATTTGCATGTTCTTTGGCTTTTTACAACATTCCAACACCATAACCAGCTTTCAGATTTTTTTTCCTCCACAAAGCATTTGAAGTAGAAAAAACATGCATGGACATGAGTCAATAAAACATATATGATGCAAAAATCTGCAGATTAGCTACCATAAATGAGATATCTAAAACATCTACATGTTCTCCCATCAGAAACAACCACAAGATCCTTTATCGAACTTCTTGATGATCCTAACACAATTCTTAAACACCTTATCCTCATTAAAAGTTGTGATTAGATAGACATAAAACTAACAGTAATCTCAATGGCCAAGAATAATCCATGTAGCTCAAACCTAGTTCATATCTGTGGGTATCATGAAGCATACCTTCATAAGCCTATGTACATATTACTAACAAATGTCATACTTGCTAACATGATCAAAATTTACTCCCAAAATAAACATAAAATACATATACAAAACAAATGCTGGCAGAATGTGTGAGCAACTAACAAACCAGTAAAGCTGCTATCTGTCCACAAAACTTTCTTAGAGCATAAATGTAATGTTCCATGAAAAGTAAATGATTTATATGAGTTGAAATAAATGTAATGTTCTCCAAAAAGTAAATGATTTGTATAACTTGAACTTTAAGAGCATTGACAATCACTTAGATCTTTTGCAGTCGGTGATGTCCCCGAGGAATGGCCAAAGGTATCATGTGATAACTTGGGTAATTTTAGAGAAAGCAGGTCTAGATATTAAACACAACTCTGTTATTAAGCAGGTCTAGAGAAAGCAGGTCTAGATATTAAACAAATTGATATATTCAGGAATAATTTACCACAATGGATTTTGTATTTTATTTTAAGACGATGATAACAGAGATAGAACTCAAGTGCTAAGGCAGGCTTCATTCAATAAAGAAACCAAAAGGACCAAATTAGGACTACATACCAAGCTCTTGAAGGCTCACATCCGCTGCAAGAAAAGAATTTTCTTTCATTTTACTAGTATGTATTTGGAGAATTTGTAAGCGACCATTCTCATCAGGGAGGTTAATCTCAACATGAACCTCCAAGCGTCCAGGCCTAGAAAATGAGCACATCAAATGACAAGGATAAAGTAGAACTGCAACATAAAGCAGGATCAAGTACATATGGGTACCAGAAAGAAATCAACGGAATGAACTTCAAAATATTTTCCAAAATCAAGCAATCACAAGATGAGCAATGGACCTTAGCAGTGCTTCATCCAGTAAATCCTTCCGATTGGTCATTCCAATCAGCAATACGTTGTTTAAAGATTCAACACCGTCAATCTAGAATGCAAAAACACTATGTTAGCATCAAGGTCCTGAGTGTCATGATATTATGTAACCCTTGGTAAAGTTCACCTTTGTGAGGAGCTGGTTGACAATGCTGTCATGAACTCCAGTACCATCCCTAGTGGACCCTCTCGACTGCAATTACAATATTTAAAAGGTTAGCAACAAAGTCCATTTCTGGAAAAAATTTCAATATTCAGAAAAAAGTTCAAACATATCTTCTAATAAAAGATGTATCTTGATTAACAAAAAAAAATGGTGGATAAATTCCAAATTAAAACATTTTCAATGATCCATCTCAGATACACTACAAAAGGAGGGCAACAAAAAAAGTTCTAAAATAATAGAAGTTCCTTTACATTTCAACCAAATTGCCAATACCACCTAAGAATTCCACAAATAATTAATACAACACATAACACCCACATGAGGGTGCAATATATGTTTTAATTTTTTCACCACAATCGGATGGAATTGATCACACTGTTGGACCAATGAAAATAAATGTATGCAGAATATCAGCAGTAGCATAAGATGTGTCAGATGCAAGCAGAACTATCTAAAAAGTAGAACGATATAGAAGCTAATAAATGGAATCACCAAAGGATGGAAAAAAATCATGATGCTTGGAAAGTGATGATAGCAAGAAAGAAAACTTTTTAGAAAAAGTACCAAATGTATCTACCTTACAGATAGCATCAATTTCATCAAATATGATGACATGCAAGTCACTCTGATCACCTGGAAATAATCACATGAATAATGTTTTGCAAGGGAACCAAAAAAACACTGTAAATTTAACAAATCAAATAATTAAGAGACAGCTGCGTACCTTGAGTCCTCTGATCATTCTCAGCATCAGCAAACAAGTCTCTCACATTTTTCTCTGTTTCTCCAACATATTTACTTAAGACTTCAGGCCCATTAACAATCTAAAGTTAAAGAAATATTTTATATTTAAGTGGGCATGTATTGGACAATAAACAGATTAGCAACCAAAATACACAATAACTGTTTGAACAATGGACTAATAAATGCAATGAAGCCTGGAGAAATATATGCTGCTGATGGTTTCCACAGTAAGAACCAAACCAAACCTTATTTTCATTGGTATAGTAATTTTTTTGAACAAAACCAAACAACAAAATCTAAAACTAGAATTGTTGATTTTAATTCTCAGCTTTATTTATAAGCAAAATTTCAAACCTTATTTTTTTATAAGGTACAGATTTTCATATCCAGATTTCAAAAGTAGATGATTATCTTTCTGATGCTTAGATCCAGCAATTGTGATGTGTCATTTAACTCATTCTTGACAAACTACCCTATTTCTTTGACAAGATTTCTAGCCTTTATTCCTTTCCTAGTTTATAAATGTGAAAGATGCATACATGTTTAATATGCAAATTTTTATTATTGTTCATATTAAGTAAATTTCATGACTGATTGTGCCCACTCTTGCAAACTTAGGTCTTTCCTTTTTATTTATTTATTTTCATTATGTATAATTGAACTCATGAATCGATAATTGGTACAAAGCAAAGTCACACAAAGCATGTATTTCCCTAGCCCAAACGAGTTGCAGGTGGAAACTGGAACATTTATAAACTATCAATTAATTTGGCAAAAGAATAATAAAATTGGTCTCCTAATGTAAAATACCCATTTTTCTTTAGACTGCTCACCTGACTACTTGTTTATATTTTTAAAGAAAATTTTTAGATGAACCCGGTTTGGAAGTTAAAAAGGAATCCTTGTTAAGGTGCACTTCCGTCACTGCTCTCATCCTCAAATCTATTTTTCTATCACCTTTCTGATCTTCCCATGCATGTTATTGACGGCTTTGAGTTGGTAACTAAATCATTTGTTGCTAACATATTTAATTTTATGCAATACTCGTACCAAAATCATGGTATACCCAAGCATCCTAACAGATGCCTACTAGACCCTTGTCCACAACTAGAAGTCCATCACTGCATTTGGTACAAGCATTTGTAAGAACACTAACTTAAGGTGTACATGTTCTTACAAGTTATTCATAGAAAATCAGCTGGATGGTTAACTGATCCATGACTGACTTGTATCAATAATCCGAGTTGGACATTAACTATAGAGTGGTTTACCCCATATCTATATGAATACTCCATCATAATTAACCCAAGCAAACTTATATGAATATCTACTATTACATTTCAAATAGAGAGTTCTTGATAGTCGTTAGCAAATATAGGTATAGACTTTTTCATATATCAGATAGAACACATGAAAATAATTCCTAAAGGAAAGAAATGCTGAAACATATTAAGTATAAGAAGTCATGCCAACAGAATCAGAAGAATGCATGAATTGGTTTTGAGCATATAAGTCAAACCGATTAGCCAGAAAATGAACGGTTTAACCACAAAGTCAAACCTTTGGCTCCCTTCCATTCAACAGCTTCCCTATTTGACGAGCCATAAGTGTCTTGCCGGTACCAGGAGGTCCATATAGCAGCATCCCTTTCACATGCTTGATACCCAATCTGCAGGATACAGTAGTCAGAAAGGAATCCATACTTGACAAGTTTTCTGTAACAAACTCAAAAATCTATTCACAGAAAAATGTTAACGTTACTTGCTAACAACATGGGAAGGAAAAACTCGAGAAGCAAATGCCCTTCGAAAAATTTCTGTAAATTCAACACTTAGTCCTCCTATTCCCAGCTTCAGAAGGTTGAACTCTTTATGACGGAATATTTTGCTGCTAGCAGCTTCACGCTGATTAATTATCTGTATGAAATACAATATATATACATATCATTCTCATGGCAAATTGTTCGCATTTACTTATGGAAAAGAGTGTCAGAGTTAATCCCTTTCACAAAATTTGGTAAAAGATTAAATCAACGGAAGATATCAAAAGAACCTTAATGCCCGAATTTGGAGAAGCTTCAAAAACAAAATATGTCTCCATGGATATCATTCCTCTATCCACGCCTTTGGAATCATCTTGTCCCTCAAGCAGAGCTTGACTAATCGTAAATATATAGTTGGTTCCACAATATTCAAATAATACCTTTTGACCAGTTGTCATAATCTGTGTACGAATATCAAATAGCTTCAAGTTAAAATTACACAAACCAAATCCCACAATGACTTAAGGCATAATCAAACAAGCTTGTTTTTGAAACAGGCCGAAGGCCTGATACAAATGTGTTATGATGATTCTAATTACAAAGTTCACAGGCAACACAACAAGGATAAAAGTATGCTTGCCCATAATTGATAATTCCATTTGAACACCCTGCTACCTGTGATCAGTTTCGACATGGATACTTTTTATCAAGAACCATCGTATACAAATTTAATAATTCAACTCTTCCTTGGGTCTAAAAAAAAGTGGATATATTAGAACATATTATAGAACTTATTGTACCAAAAGTTCCTTAATAAATCTCATTTATGTCATCAAAAAATCAGCAATTTTAGGATGGTTTGACAATGAAATTACAAAATGCTTGCCAGCAAGTGGATCGATACAACCATTTGGGAAAATTGTATAGAAATACTATGTAAACATTACATCATATTTCAGTGGCTTCATATTTAAGAATTTGATCTTGATTTTTTTATCTGAAGCACACAGTTCCTATGACTTTCACAGAGAAGTCTTCAATAAGCTTTGAATTGCAGAAGTTGTATTTGTTGCAGCAAAGAAGAACTCAACACTCAGGTTAAAGAAGAGGAGAAAAAAAACAGAAGAAACACGAAGAAAGAAAGGTAAAAGTTCTGGAAGCCATGTCATCGAGTTGCATGACAAAAGAATGATTCCATAAAATATAGGAGGGATTTCTAAAGTTCACTCTCTATTTGTCTGTGTATGTTGCTCTTACATTTCATTTCTTTAAAAAAGTAGGTATAATACAGTTTTTCTCTCCCTTACTCAAATTTCTTTTCAGATTAATCTCCTTTCCATGCGTTGATGCACACACACATGCACACTCCTATTCTTCTAGTTCAATAACCCTCATTTCGTCCCCTTTACTGGCTAAAGAACAGTAGCTTCCAACTCCTTTTTAATTTATTATTCATCAAATCCAAACTACATTTCTGTCCTTAGTTCAAGTCAAACAGGTCTAAGTCTATCGTTCTACCACTCGAGTTAGCCTAAAACCACTGCTTTCAAAAAATGGTCTGCTCAGTCCTCCGCATCTACATAAAGACCCTTTAGCCTAAGTGGATGTTCATCATACCACATTCAAACCCATCACTCCAGTCCCTTTTTTTTAAATACAAAACCTCAAAAGATACCCCTACTGTATCTTATAAGGGCCTCTACGCAGCTAGATCACAATAAACCAAAAAACATAGAAACAATCAAGTTGTTGAGTTCAAGAACTTGAGCATCACCCAACTAGCTATGCAACATGAGCAAGTTGGTCAAACATCACATGCAAAAAAAAAAAAAAAAGTTATAATCGTAGAAGATGATAATCACTAAATATAAGCCAATTCAGAATAAAAGTGTTGATGTCTTACCTGGTCAATGAATTTTTTCTGAAGTTGTTGAGCAAGAAGTACAGCATCCAGCTACAACATAGAGTTTGCACTTTAAGACAGCAGCATTCAAGCATGGGATTAGATTAACAAAAGAATCTCAAGATAATCTTACTTGCTCCGTTCTATTAGTCTTGCCTTTAACAAAATCCAACTCTAGTGTGAGTAATGCCAGCTTAAAGTTATCCGGAGGAACAAATCTGAAAGGACATTCAACAATAAAGGTGAAAAAATTGATAACACAACTCATTAAGCCATATCTATGCAATTGCTAGCTAATGTGAAGGATGCATACCTGCTAACTGAGATTTGATCACCGGATGAAACTCTTGTATGACGACGCTGTATGGCATTCAAAGCAATATGATCGCTAGGAATGTTCTGGTGAGCAGTAGTTCTTTATTAAGGTTGACGTCACACAACAAATAATCATGTGTAATTGAATCGGATCAATCTATGTCCGTAAAACAGCACAAGAAGCAATAAGTTGGTCCAGCATCATGAACATAAGCAGGTGCTTAACACCATCATACCTTATTCAGTTCCACAATTTAGATATTGCAAATCTTGGATCAAATCAACATTCCAAAATCAAGAAACCAAAATCTTGACAGTTGAAGTTTGAACAACTGCATTGTCGATTCTTCTTGATGCGGAGTCACAAGAATCGTGAGAGAAAGTTGCTAATCCGGCGATCAAATCAACATCCTAAAACCAAGAAACGATGTTCTTGAACATTAAAGAACAAACAAACCCGATAATCATGGATACTCGATCTTTCTTGACGAGGAATCAAAAGAATCATGGATAAAAGATGCAAACCCGATAGTTATATCTAATTCTATAACCAAGAAACCAATATCTCGAAAATTAAGGTACCAACAGCTGCATTCTCGATCCTTGTCGATGATAAGTCAAAAGATCTCACTACTATCTCAAACAAAACAACTCAAAAGACGTCCACGCAATTGGATGGACAAAATCAAGGATATCGTAGGGTGAGGACGACGGAATCTCCAACGAATATGAGGACGTGCTTGGATCCGGGGGTGGCGAACTTGTTCATGTCCGCGGGGGAGCAGTAGGCGAAGTTGGTCAGGGCAAGGTCCTGGGTCGGCGTGTTCACCACAGTCATGGAGTCGGCCGCCGACGAGGCGCCGAATCCGAACCTACCCGCCATGGCTGATCGCAGCGGAGCAAGTATCAGGCGAGTTAGGGTTCCTGACAGGAATAGCGCAAGAGAGAGGGAGGAAAAGACCTCGGAGGCGATCAAACGAGGGAAATGGAAAACGAGGGAGGAGAGAAAATAGAGGAGACCATTACTTCGTTCAGAAGAAATGGTGGTCTGCGCCGTTATGATTCGTGCAAGACTCTATATTTATATACGTACTCTTGGTCTATAAGATTCGTGCAAGACGTGATGAACTCTTGGCACTGGAGAGTCACTATGGGCCAAAGCGGAGCTTATCACCCACCACACGCTCTTTAGATCCATATCGCCATGGGAGGGCGGCCCATATTACAGGAACGCTTGGAGCTCGCAATGAGCTGTACTGCTCCTCGTTAATGATCCAAACCCACGCGAGAAGGTTCCACGCACCGCGCCTGCCGCCCTCCACGTGGATGCCTCGATGCGTCACATGGCCCCATTCGGTTCCTAACGCCAAGGAGCCATGCCATGACTGACTGCTACATGCTCCTAACAGCCTCTCGCCACCGTCCTGGAGAACCCAAGACGGCTGATCTGATCAGAGTTTGGAGGATGCAAAGAACACGTACGGCAAGTGAGGTTTGATAGTTTGCCATAGGGACAAGGAGAATCACCGAGGTACAGCGGGCACGAAACAAGCGGTCTGCTAAATATTGTCGGGTTGCGGATTTAAGCCTCTGATCGGATGCATTTGCGCGGGTGATTTGTGCGGTTGGCAGTGTGTGCAAACCCGTGATGTTGAGAGCTTCCCCCCATCTGGCAGCTACGGGCCGTTAGGACATCACTCCGAGATGAATCCACTGCTTCCCTGGCAAATGCAGCACGCACCCATATTTCCTCCAATTACTGATGGATGATCAAAATTATGATTTATTCACCTAACGCTCGGGTCGTATCGGTATGGTTAGGTCCCTTCACATCAGAACTTGTCATTATCCACATGGCATAGAATGTAAAAGACAGATGCAGTAGTTCGAGCTTTGATCAAAACAGCAGCAAGCTCCAAATGATTAGTGCGAGGTCTTGATCATCAGGTTTGGGAATTGCAGAGAACAGCGCAAGCATCGGCGGGATGTACTGTGAGAGTGGCGCTGGTGCACATCGCCATGTTCTAGGCCAGCGTCGATTTATTGCTCCGCTGGATGAGGTCTCCGACTTTAGATCGTTGCCGACGTGTTGTCTGCCATAATGCGGGCTGCGATGTTGCCATCACGATGGATAGACACACGTCATAAATGTGGCTCGTTTGGGTTGATGGATCGACGTGGTTACGTCGATCAACCATGCCATGTTTAATGCGACTCTGGCATGGACAAAAGCTTCGCACCTCTCCATACATCCTCATGAAAGCTTACCCACCGTAGATTTCTCTTATCACGTGTTGCAACATAAAAAAAAGCTGTTACTTTTTCGATATTGCTATTTATGTCGAAAGGAATGAGTCGCCCCAAAACTGTTAGGTACGATGGAACGTCTCACTGGTCTAACACAGCGGGCCACAGGGACCCACGATAAAAGAACGCGTGTGAGAGGGCAGACGTCGTCCGGCGACCTTTTTCCGGGGTGATTCAGTCCGTCCACTTACGTTACAGATGGGGGGGGGGGGGAGGAAGTGAGAGGTGAAAACGGCAGAGAAGTGGAAGCGGCGGTGCACGTCCCACATTGGGTGGCTTGCGTGGTCACCCTTCAAATGCTCGGGCGGACACCATGCATGCACCTCTCGCTGCGTCATCTGCCCGTAGCTTCGGCCCACCTCCCTATCTCGACACCCTCCTGGCTCCTTCCTCCCCCTCCCTCTACTAAAGACCTTCCCACCCCCTCTCTTCCTCCTCATTGCCTCTCTCTCTCTCTCTCTGTGCGTGCCCAAGCACTGGAATCATGATGACGCCCATGTAATGTAGTGACATGGAGTCATTGTGCTTTGCGACCATCGTGTAGTTACTTACCACTTCTCCTCTTTGCGCCTTCGCTCTCGGCATCATTCACAGAGACGACGGTCCAGCAGAGTTTAGGGTATCTTCCCATCCGCCGACCCCTTGCGGACTCCGAGACGTTAGCCTTACCTTCCAAAGCGGTTTGATGAGTCCTATGGCCGACCAAATCAAATGGGCATCCTCCGAGTCCGAAACCAGCGCGACATCCTCCTCCTCCTCCTCCTCCTCGGGTTCGTCGTCGTCGAGGAGGAGCTCGGGCGGGGCCGCCACGGAGCAGCGGAAGCGGGAGCGGGATAGCAGGCGGCACCCGGTATACCGCGGGGTGCGGATGCGGGCGTGGGGGAAGTGGGTGTCCGAGATCCGGGAGCCCCGCAAGAAGTCGCGCATTTGGCTCGGCACCTTCGCCACCCCCGAGATGGCCGCCCGCGCCCACGACGCCGCCGCCCTCTGCGTCAAGGGCCCCTCTGCCGCCGCCGCCATCCTCAACTTCCCGAACCTCGCCGGCACGCTGCCCCGCCCCGCCTCCCTCTCCCCGCGCGACGTGCGGGAGGCCGCCGCACGGGCGGCCGCCATGGATCCAGCAAGCCCAGGAAGCGCCGCCTCCTCCCCGTCGCCGTCGTCCTCACCGGAGGAGAAGCTTGCCGCGGCGCCGACGGATGAGCTGGGCGAGATAGTGGAGCTCCCGCGGCTCGGAGAGGAACTGTTCGACTCTGCTGCGCTAGAGGGCGACTTCATCTTCCATGACACAGAGGACCTATGGACCTACCCGCAGCCATGGGCGGAGAGCAAAGGAGACCACGAGTTCTTCCCTGATCCAATATGGTCGCAGGAAGTCAACGCATCCACTGGCTTGGAAGCTCCCTTCTGGGACTTTTCATGAACTCGAAACACACACACACACATGGTTCCTTCTCCTCCACCTCTCTCCAGTCACTGTACATTCGTTGGTGAGCCTGCAAACAACTCTGCAAGATGAGGAAGCGATTCTATTGGAGGAGACAGCGATCAACGGTCTCCTGTTGTCATTCTACGAATAATTGTAGACGCACTGCAATGGCTGAACGTAAAATGCATACAAGCCATCTTCTCCTTGCATTCAATTAAAACCATGTACTTCATCGGTTGATCTTTCCTGTACATCATTAGCATTCACAATGCAGTATGATGTCTTCCTGTGTGCATATAAAAGTTTCTGCTCCAATGGGTGCCATTATTTCTCATATTTACTGCTGCTTTCCTTCAATTTTGGCTTGTTTGCCAATTCTCAGAGCTTGAGGTCTTTATGTACACACACACACACACACACACACACACACACACACACACACACACACACACACACATATATATATATATATATATATATAATAACCTAAGTCGCAAGAATTGCTATCTTATGTTACATTCCCTTCACAAATTCACATAAACTTATGTTTGGATGATTGAAGTGTTACTCAGGGATTGGCATCGAGGGACATCAGGTTCATGCTCCTTCTCCCTGCATTTAATGGCTACCAAATTTGTAGTGCTCATCATCTGCATGAGATAACAAGCATGAAACTGCATTCCAAAAGCAATCGACAGGTGGAATAAGGTCGCAGTGGGGAAACAATGTGGTTAGGGTCTCAATTGAATAATTGTCTCCATAAAGTCTGCTGTCTAAATTGTACGCTAAATGATGCACAACGTGACAAAAACAAATCTCTATTGAATTTAATATGCACCAATTCGAACTACTTTTTTTGTTTGGCATCAAATGCTGTGAAGTAATTCCTTGAAATAACGAGAAAATTATAGTCGATCCTAAACCATTGGGATATTACAACTTTTTCTATTGATGCCACAAAGAATTTTGTGTTCATCATCAGTAACCTAACTTCCCTCTCACTGATTTATAGATGAGAACAATTATCAAGTAATTGGCTGTTTATATTTATTAGAGAAACCTTTAAAGTTATTGGCTATTATTTATAGTCATGCACAAATTATCAAGTTAATGGACAAGTGTTAAAGCTAAGTCCAACTTCTTTTTATTTTTCCAAAAATATATAAAACTCGGAGCACAGAATAAATCATAGTTCTTGAGATCAAATCTGTCTCCAGATAATATAATTTTCAGAAGGTCTAGTCTGATTAATTAACCAATGAGCATTACCATTATCCTACGACATGCATGAATAAATTTACAATCGATGAACATAATAAAAATTGACTTGTACACCAATTTACATAACTAATTTCTATTCGAGAAAAGAAGAAAACAAAGCAGCAATAGATTCCTTAGCCTACCATCTTTCCTTGGCACCTATACGTTCTCCGAAAAAAAGAAATATACAGCTGCAATCCAATGCACAAAGCAAAGACAAACCAATTTGATAAGGTGAAGATAAAAGGCTTTACTCAATCTTCTTACTACTTCTTTTTGGTTCTTCTCTTGGGGAATGTAGGGGTTGTGTTATATGGTCCACATGGATTCAAAAGACAAATATAGCTAGGAACTCTAAATTTGAAGCCTCATTTAACACGCATATTAATGTGGCAAACTTAGGTGCCATCTTTTAATTGATGATGGGTGCCAAATGAAAATACATATTACCAATTATATCTACCAATTGCATATATATATATATATATATATATATTCAGCAGTGACTTACCATATCAATTATTGCTAAAAAAAGGGGAGGTTTAGAGAAGTTTGGAGTGGGTTACAGCATGACGCTGGCAAAGCACGCTTTTTGCAGCTGGATGGCATCCGCAACATGCTTTGTCTGGTCAAGACAATGACGTTGACTACAGTTCAGATTTCAAAATGTTCCCTCCGCCCAATGATTGCCGACTATGATATGATATTGTTCCCTTCTTCATCAAAATTGATCAAACTCAATCCTATCGACCAACTGGATCAGATCGACATTATCGTCCAATGTAATATTAACATTACCTATCCCAAATCAGCAATCATACTCGTAGATGAATAGCATAAAGTCCTGCGCACCAGGTGCCTACCACAGCAGATGTGGTTCGCCAAACATACCTCGTAGACCAATTTATACAAACAGGTGGAGGGCAGTTGGAAAGCCCAGAGTTGGACTGTCCCACTGCTCCCCGTAGCGGCACAGTAGAAAGGAAAGGACCATAAAGATGGGTGTCGACGACGGTGCATCGGCTTTTTGTGACTCGGGCTGTATCGCATCTTCCACGGATCTGCTAAGTTCCAAAAGCCTCCGTCCGTAGTCCGTGCTCCTTCCGTCGTCCTTTGGTCTTTTGCACCGAGACATAGCGCCCACTGTAACCCCACTGGCTCATCGGAGCCCGTAGAGACGCTGCGATGTTAGGCAGTGGCGTAAGCAAGCAAGGGAAGACTGCTGCGGCCTCGCCGATCGACCCAACTTTGTGTGCCTGCCACATGGAAGAGAGCTTCATGGCATGTGCTTAACCTGCAGCCAACTTATGTTGCTCTTCTGTTGCTCAAGTCACATTTCGGTGCAATAGCCAGCCACGCACAGACAGAAACGATTCAGCAGTGGTTGTCTTTGTCGATCCATTCTCTCGTTCAAGTTTAACTACGATCTGCATGCTGCAAATGGCACATCATGCAATCTTCTCTCTCTCTCTCTCACTTATAATTAGTAGACGTGATCCATTTAATGATATTAGATTTTGGATCCGATGCATCCAAATATCGTCGTCTTGTTTTCCTCCATGGCTACACGACATGACACCATGCAGAAAGGCCAAAACTCAACAGATCTGTAGCTTCTCATCTGCAACAAAAGACAAGGAAGCCAACACCAGCAGTCGGAAGGAAGAGCTGTTATCTAAGATGCTTTGATGCTTGATGACCCGAGCGAATCGACACATCCAGACATGAAATCCTCGCAAGAAGACAAGATGAAGCGTCCCCATTGTCGTATTTTTTATGATCTCAAAGCTCATAGAATAATGAACTGATGATGCACGTACAGAGCTTCACCGAACTCCGATCACCAAGAAGACAAAGGACGTCAATTGGTGCAAAATAATAATAATAATAATAATAATAATAATAATAATAATAATAATAATAATAATAATAATAATAATAAAAGAGTCCGGAAGTCCTTTTGAAACGACGGAATGCGATATATACCTTACAACCCATGCCAACAACAAAATACCAGACGAAAAATCTCATGTTAGAGTGCAGGTTGCTGTCCTCGATCGGCCATATCTCCCAAGAATCTAATCACAGTGAGGGAACTGGGAAGAAGAATAGGATTCTCATTACAGGTTACGTGGAACCTGACAAAACTCCTCCTCGTTGCACAAGTAACTCCGTATCATTGCTCATCTCACAGGATTTAGAATAGCTATAAAACACACAGGTGACTGTTGAGCACTGCGCCATGGTACCGCGAGAACACTATTTTAATCGACCGCAGAAGGCCGGGAGAGTCACTTGAAATCACATCACAGACGGTATCATAATAAGATTTGACAGAGTTAGTAGTAGAAAACACAATGTTGTGTCTCTCACATACACAATCTTTCTCCCAGCAATAGACTGTCATCACACACAGCAATTCTTAGTTTTCCCTACCTATCTTTTTCAATATTTTATAATTAGACTTGTATATAGAACGAAGACTCGGCAAAAAGGTGGTGGTTTGGTCAGTGTCAGCTCGGTAGGCATGGTGGGTGCGACGTACGACGGCCTGTTATCCTTCTACCATCAAGAGCGGGAGGTTGTCGATGCTCTGTGAAGCCAGCCTGACGCGGTGCCCTCCGCTTTAGGATCCTATGAGACTTAGGCCTTCGCCAAGATCACATAGAACATCTGCCTGACTTAGAATGGGCGAGCCGAGTAATGTGCGGCCGCACCCAACCTACTCGAGCACAACATGCCATTCCACAACCGATCGCCCCCGCTCGGGTTACAAGCCAACGCTAACGGGCTCGGCGATCGAGGCGCTTTCACAGCATCATATCAGGCCAAACAATTTGTCAAAACAAGTGATGTGGGACCAAGAATGTTGTAACTGTTAGTGTAAACAACTTTATGTCGTGTCCTCGAGCCGACGCGGTTTGGTTGGGGGTCCGAATGACGAGGATCTTGCGCGGCGTCCCTCGAGATCTCCCAGTGGCCGATTACGGTGGTCCGGTCGGGACGTCGCGTCGGGAGGAAAGCTTTGCCGTAGCGCCGGGAAGAGGCGACCCCGTTCTTGCACCTGCACACAGGTCGGGTCGGAAGCTCGGCCCGACCCCTCCGACGATCAAGTTAGTGGATATGGAGGGGGTTTTAGGTGAATAAGTGCTCTCTTTTTCTCCTCCCTTTTCGTTTAGAACTCGGTGGTATTTATAGGTGAGTTTAGTGTTACCTGATGTGTCTGCCCGCAGGAGCAGAATCGTACCTCTAATGGCGTCTGACATTGCCGTTGGCATTGCGTGGAGAACCGAACTGCCGCAGGGCATGGGTGAGCCTCGATCGCCGTTCTCCTCTGCCTTGGCCAAGCATGTTGGGTCAGACAACGATGAAGTCGTTGTCTGGGAGCGGGTGACGTCAGCGCACATCGCGTCAGCATTACTGCCCTATTTGGGGTAGAGTGTCGTCCAGACATGGCTGACGTCGTGACGCGTCATGTCGCCATTATTATCCTCATCAGTAACCACTGATGCTTCTCCTTAGCGCGCACCAAATGCTTTGGATGCTGCTGTAACTAACTGTGCGCCTAGTACGTTTTGGAAGACACGCGAATTGAACTCCACTGGATTGTACTCCGCCCTGAATGATACAAACCCAAATGCTAGAGATTTTAATCTCTGAAATTATTAGCATCGAGTTGAAATTTTGTCATATATATACAAGTTGAAATTTCTATCAGAATTGAGTATCGATCGAAGGCCTCTCATATATGTTGCTTTTTTAATTTTATTTTTTCCTTTTACAATTCTTTCTTATATAGTTCATGCTAGTTGAATATTAAGAAAACAACAGAAACAATAATAATAATTATTATTAACTATCTATGTATATTAGATAGTTGAAAAGATACACTAAAATCTCATATTCAAGAGATATGAACTTGAATAACCAAACGGTATATGAGAATACATAATATTAAGAAGATTACCTTAAGAGATCTATACAAAATCTAAAAAACAAACATAAATAGTGCAAATCAATGAGTGCATAAAGACGATGTTTACAACTCTCAAATTTATTATCAATGAAGTAAAA